TTAGTTTCTTAACACAGTATTTTTGTTAATTCTTGTCACTTTCACACGAAACATGTCACTATTCTTAGTAATGATGTACGTGATTTAGTTTCTTAACACAGTATTTTTGTTAATTCTTGTCACTTTCACACGAAACATGCCACATATTCTTAGTAATGATGTACGTGATTTAGTTTCTTAACACAGTATTTTTGTTAATTCTTGTCACTTTCACACGAAACATGCCACATATTCTTAGTAATGATGTACGTGATTTAGTTTCTCAACTAAAGTAGTTAAGTTAAGTAGAAAGTTATACAATGGGCTATCTGTGCTCTGCCCACCACGGGTATCGAAATCCTGTTTCTAGCGTTATAAGTCTTTTTATTAACTCGTGTCACTCTCAGATGAAGCATGCCATATACACTTACTAATGATGTAAATGATTTAATTTCTTAACACAGTATTCTTATTACATCAGGTCACTCTCACACCAAGCATATCATACATATTTACTAATGATGTAAATGATTTAATTTCTTAACACAGTATTCTTATTACATCAGGTCACTCTCACACCAAGCATATCATACATATTTACTAATGATGTACGTCATTTGCTTTATTAACATCTAAACATGGTATCTTTTTGTTAAAGTTGATAGTTTTTACACCAAGCTTGAAGTAAAACAATGTGGGATCCAGCGTTTTGAGGTTTGAAGCCGAATATTGTTAGATTCAGCATTTAAATGTTTAAAGTGGAGCAAATGTTGAATCTAGCAGCTAAATGTTTTAAATAGAACATTGTTGGATCGAACATTTAGTTGTTTGCAATGGAACATTGTGTGATGTAACTGTAGTAGTTACTTTTACTAACCAAGACAAGATTTGTCTATTTCATTAACAATTAAATCGATGAAATAGTATGTAACTATTTTTTTATAATGAAGAGATGAAAGGATACATTTGAGCTTAAAGTTATTGATGAACACCATGTACAATATTCGCGATTAAAACAAAAATTCAAAAAGCTTCCTTCATTGGTTTTTACTTTTAAATTTACTCATATTTCTCCCATTTGACAACGCTTTTAATGTATACTTAATCTGGATATAAATGATACATTGTTTTTGCGCATATAATAGTGGAAATAATTATGGAAACGGTGAGATAAAGGCAAATACTGCGGAAATGCAGCTTTATAGCTTGGAAATGTCATGTGCGGACGATAACTTAGACTGACAATGGATGTCATCCAAACGGTTATAAAGTGTCTCAACAATATAAAGCCTACAAAAGTACAGGCAGTAGCACTATGGCCAGTAGTAGTAGTGTGATGCTTTCATGTTTCTCAGGACTCAAGCATCGCATGAAAAGCGTGTAAAAATAAAAGTTCGACAGATTAAGTATATTCCATGCAGAAAATGCGGAAAGGCTCCATGTTTCAGTAGTAGCTGCGTGCATGACTCTGAAAAGGGTACCAGAAACTGGGACTGTTAACAATAGTAGCAATCAAAGCAGATAACTGAAACTCCCAAAACTCCTTAAAAGTAATGTTAAGTACCTTAGAATTTTTTTTTTTTATGAGATAGACAACGGTCGAGTATAAAGTTTGTCAACGACTTTGGCGTGAATATTACATTGAAACCAATAAGATACACAAAATGGACAAAATGGATCTCGGACCACAAACAGTGTAATGAATAAATCTGGAGACACGTGCTCTTTCCAGGTGAATCCAAGTTCGAATTGTTTGACAAGAAGCAACGACATCTGTTTGACGGGGGAGAAGAGAACGGTATGATAGTCAACGTACAATATCTAGAGTGAAGCCTTGTAGGAGATCAGTACAAGTTTGTGGCTGCAATTTAGCTAAGGTATTTGTGACCTACACAAAACTGATGGCACCGTGACTGCTGACAAGTACATGCAGATTCTGATCACGAAACTGATGGCACCGTGACTGTTGACAAATACATGTAAATTCTGATCCATCATTTCATTCTCCAAAGAACATGACTTATTTGGTGTGAATTCATCTTTTAGCAAAATAATGATCCCAAGAAACTTAGAGTGAATGCGGTATAATGGTATATTTACCCTAATAAGTCGATGGAACACCCAGCCAAAATCCCGATATGAGCATTTATGAAGGTGTACAAGTTTAGTACATAAAAAAAAAACATCTGAGAAAGTGAAAAGGCGAAAAAACAACAAGAAGAACAACTTGGCTGAATTCTGGGGAGTAATGATTGAAACAATATTTCACGATGGTAGGTTGATAAATGAAGTGTAATACCCCGTCTAAAATAAAATCCTCACATAAAAAATATATACTTGTACAGTTTTCTGTGATAATGCTTTTTACTATTTATAAATTCTTCATTTAGTTGCCATCACTCATTGTTTGCCACTCCTTCTTGTATATCGTACGTATTCATACTCGTTTCGAGTACTGTATCACATCATAGTATTTGAACACTTTGAGACACGACGAGTACATATCGTTTTATAAATTCTTTAACTACCGAAAGTAACAAAATTCTTGAACCCTTTCGCCCGGAACATAAAATTTGAGTAATTGCCCTCAAAATCGTGGAAATCCCTGATAAAATTAAATAGCTTTTTCTGTAACAGTAAACGACAGAAAGTATTTTTGTGATTTGAGTTTTAGTTTTTGCTTCACCAAATTTTGTGCCCCCCCCCCCCAGTGGCACAGCGGTATGTCTGAGGACTTACAACACTAGAAACCAGATCGCACAGATAGCCCATTGTGTAGATTTGTGCTTAACTTCAAACCAACCAATCAACCAAATTTTATGCCCCCCTCCCCCCAGTGACACAGCGGTATGTCGATACTCGTGGTGGGCATCACACAGATAACCCATTGTGTAGCTTTGTTCTTAACTTCAAATCAACCAACAAACCAAATTTTATGCTTCCCCCCCCCCCCAGTGGCACAGCGGTATGTCTGTGGACTTACAATGCTAGAAACCGGTTTTCGATACCCGTGGTGGGCATCGCACAGATAGCCCATTGTGTAGCTTTGTGCTTAACTTCAAACCAACCAACCAAATTTTATGGCTATAAACGAATCACAACGTAATTAACCAACGGCAAAGTCGTGTAGGCCTTTCTCGACTGCAATTATTTTCATTAAGTATTACGTGTATGCGGTTATATTGAATTTTGTTATTGGAAACGAAGTTGGCATATTCTAAGGCACTCTTGTAATACTTAAATACTTATCACACCAATTTTTAACTTAAGTTGTTTCGTGAGAAATCTTTTAAAAATATTTTTATTCTATTCTGTTGGACACTCGGAAATTAATTCTTTTTTCACAATAAACACCAGGATATGGTCTTTCCGTGGTAATTATTTCTGTAAAGAATCCAGTAGGTGTTTTACGTATCTGTTGACTGTTATATATTACGCTCATTTCCCCCGTATAGTGACCAACTTTCCTAACTACTAGCAAAGAAAAGGTTTAAGTGACCCAAGTTTTTTTTGTTTTTTTTTACCAATACGAGAAAGGGGGAACAAAATCTATCTGTGATTAACTGCAAATAGACGAAACTTTAATTCAAAAGATCACTTACGTTCTTAAAATGTAGGTCTCTTTAAGTCTACTGTAAAATTTATAAATACAAGAGAAATTTGTTTGTTTCAGAACATACGTGCAAAACTACACAAAGCGTTATTTAAGCATAGTTGTCCCTATCCACAGATAGACCAAATGATGTCGTGGTCTTCTTCGAACTTCGAAGGACGAACAACAGTGACCGTAAGTAAAGTGCGTGAATCGTTGTGAATTATAGCGTGTGTTAAGTGAAAGTGACTGTGGAAATTCTGTGTATTGCAAAGTTGTGTTGAGAAATAATAAATTAGTTTTATTTAAGAAAGGACATGTATCGCTGAAGTTCTTCAGAAAGAATTTTTACGGGAAATTAACAAACAAGCAGAGACATAACAGTACTAACAAATTATATAAAACGTATCTTATTATTGTGAGTCATTATTTTGCAGTTTTATTTTAATTTTATGGTTTACATACGTAACTATTTTACGCTTTTTCTTTCACGTTCGTGGTGTTACTTTCTTCTTAGCTATCAAAAATAGAATTAGATATATGCATTTCATCTCGAAATATATATATATATATACATATGAACACAACGTATAAACACTCAATAAAAGACAACAAATAAAAACTAACGAGCGAATGTTTAAACACATATCTCGTAGACCGTGTTTTTCACCCGAAATAATATAATATAATTTCCTACATTCTAATATCACGTGATCAATAAAGTAGTGCCGGCTCGAGAGATTGTTTATATTGGAGGGCTGAACTGCAAAATTTCAGATAAAATCCAGGAAAAAAAAAAGAATTGGTTATCGCACGATTTTGTGCATTAAACATCCGAGTAAACAAAAAGGTATATTTCATATTTGATCTTCAAATTACAGTTTATCATCCACGTACTTTTAACTCATATCGACCAGTTCTGACCGTGCTAAATAACCGTGGCAGCTCCATAGGGATCCCGTCTGCGTTATTTGCTTGTTATCGATGGTCCAACTCGTTTGTCTTGGCCTCAGATTAATCATTTTTGTATTCAAGCTAAATGTATACGCAATTACTCAACGAAAACATCATAGTTTAGCGGCGATAATATTGATAACTGATGGTTTCAAAATGTACACGACATATAATAATACCGCTCTTAGATCGCCGTCTTATAGCAGAGCTCACGACCTTCTACTGCGCATGCGCGAGAACGTGTTCGGTTGATGATGTAGGAGAGCTAGAAGATGTATCAGTTTTTTTTGTAGTATTTCATAGCAGGAAAGATAGCTACAAAACGGCTTATTAGTCCAGCAAGAGCGCAGTTAAAGCGAGTGTCAGCCATTTCTTCGGATCTCATTTGCTTCTCCGCAATACTCAATTAACTTTAGCAGCAAGACATTGCGGATCTATCCTACACAACCATAGAATTTTGGTCAATATTTAGCGGAGTTACTGTAGTACAGACATCTAGCCAGCCAATAGATGCCACCAAGCCGGTAAGGCACGGTGAGCCGCGGCATGAACTACCTGTGTACCTAACGTCTGTTTCGTGAGGCAAGACGCAAACTGCAAGCTTTCCGGACAATTTGACAAGGATAAGAAAGTTTGAAGTCCAAGAGAGAACCACTTTATGTCGAATTCCCACGTTAATATATTTCAGGTGACCAAATATTGTATTATCATCTAGCAACTGGATATTTCTATCTCTCTCTTTACTTGCCGAAGCGAAAACTGCGTATTTGTACGGAGTGTAAAATTCAAGCTCTCGCTTGTGGTGGAGGGTTCTACTTCTAACCTGACTACTTTGCTAAACTAACACTTCGCTTTTTACTTTTAAGACGACTTTCGTTGTAAACTGCTAGACTGGCCTATAGGGGGAAACTGAAATGCTTAGTAAAAAACCTGCTGCATTGTGAACAATGCCGGCAGTAATCCATCTTATCACTAACGCGTCAATAATTGGAAAATCTTCAACAAAGCTCATGTGGTCTTCTTAAGCAAGAATTAAGTTTGTATAACTCCTAAAATTTGATTAAGATTATTCCTAGCTTCCAAATTTGGCATAATGGATTGGCGGGAACTTTGTGTCTCTTTGCTCTGCTGTAGGAGGTGAGTCAATGTAGTTTTTACACAGACAAAAATTGCATGTCTTCTGAACATTTTTTACGGAAGAATCATTGTCTTAAACTTATAATGGTGACAGAAATAAAAATAAAGTTATTTGTGGATAATTTGAATTAATTCATTATTTCACTCTGTTTATATTTACATATTTCGACTGAAAATCTTTAGATCTTTGTAATATGTTTGTTTTAGTTTAATTACAGCTATATGTCATTCAGGAATAATCTTTGAAAGTTCGTATTAAAACGGGTACTTCGTTTTGGGTACTTCCAAGATCAGAGTGTATCTGCAGGGGAAAAAAATCATTATTCGATCGAAAATTAAGAAAATCACTAAGTCATATCTTGTAGATAGCACAAATTCACTTCAGTTCATTTTTCCATTGTTAGAATCTTAAACTAATTCTACATTCTAGATACTACACATCTTCTTCCTTAAGATGCTTTAATTCGTTGTTAGAATCCTAAACTAATTCTACATTCTAGATACCACCTTCTTCCTTAGGATGCTTTAATTCGTTGTTAGAATCCTAAACTAATTCTACATTCTAGATACCACCTTCTTCCTTAGGATGCTTTAATTCGTTGTTAGAATCCTAAACTAATTCTACATTCTAGATCCCACCTTCTTCCTTAGGATGCTTTAATTCTTTGTTAGATTCTTAAACTAATTCTACATTCTAGATACCACCTTCTTCCTTAGGATGCTTTAATTCGTTGTTAGAATCCTAAACTAATTCTACATTCTAGATACCACCTTCTTCCTTAGGATGCTTTAATTCTTTG